AACTAAGAATTAAAAATATTAAACTAAAAATAAATAGTACAACAATAAAAACTAATATAAAATGCAGTATAATGAGCATTTACTTTGTATTAGGTATTAGAGCAATCTAGAGATGATTTAAAGTATACAGTATGGGCTGAGCGCAGCAGTTCATGCCCGTAATTCCAGCACTTTGGGAGGCCGAGGCAGGCGGATCACTTGAGGTCAGGAGTTCGAGACCAGACTGAACGACATGGTGAAATCCTATCTCTACTAAAAATACAACAATTAACTGGATGTTGTAGCTGGGCACCTGTAATCCCAGCTACTCAGGAAGCTGAGGCAGGAGAATTGCTTGAACTAGGAAGGCAGAGGTTGCAGTGAGCCAAGATCATGCCACTGCACTCCAGGCTAAGCAACAGAGCAAGATTCCATCTCAAAATAAATAAATAAATAAATAAATAATAAATAAAATACAGTATATGGAAATTAGCCAGGCATGGTGACATGTGCCTGTAATGCCAGCTACTCAGGAGGCTGAGGCAAGAGAATTGCTTGAACCCAAGAGACGAAGGTTATAGTGAGCTAAGATCGTGCCACTGCACTCCAACTTGGGTGATAAAGCAAAATAATAAATAAATAAAGTATATGGGATGATGTGCTTATAATGCAAGTAGTATGACAGTTCATATAAAGAATATAAGAATTCCCAATTTTGGGATCCAAGATTTCTGATCACTAGCAGCTCGGGATTGTAGCTCCCAGTAAAAGTGCAAAGAACGAAAGGACGCCACACCTTCACATGAATTCTTGTTGCTCACGCACCAGGAGATTCCCAGCGGAGGAGCCCCATGGGTCGCCAGTGCGACTCTTGTGACCGGTGAGGCGGTTTTGCCGGTGCCTCGGAGCGTCGGTTCTTGGTGCAGAGTCAGAAAAGCACCATCAATCTTAACGCTGCTGATTTAGTCGGCGCAGTGGGTTGCTCAGATTTCGGCGCTGAGAATCAATAAGTTGGACGTCCACTCAGAAACCCAATTACAAAGACGGTAAATACAAAGACCACAGATGGATAAATTTATAACGAAGGGAAGAAAACAGCCAAAAAAAGGCTGAGAATACCCAAGATCAGAATGCCTTTCCCTCAGCGGGGGATCCCAGTTCCTCATCAGCAACGGAACAAGGCTTGATGGAGAATGAGTGTGTTCCAATTACGGAAGCAGGCTTCAAAATGTGGATAATGAGAAACTTCTGTGAATTAAAAGAACTTGTTCTAACCCAACCTAAAGTAACTAAGAACTTTGAAAAAAGATTTGACGAAATGTTAACAAGAACACACAATTTAGAGAGGAAAATAAGTGAATTGATGGAGCTGAAAAACACAATACGAGAACTTCGTGAAGTATGCACAAGTTTTAACAGCTGAATTGATCAAGCAGAAGAAAGGATATCAGAGGTCGAAGACCAACTCAATGAAATAAAACAAGAAGACAAGATTAGAGAAAAAAGGATAAAAAGGAACGAGCAAAGTCTCCAAGAAATATGGGACTATGTGAAAAGACCTAATCTACGCTTGATAGGTGTACCTGAATGTGACAAAGAGAAAGAATCCAAGCTGGAAAATATGCTTCAGGACATTATTCAGGAAAATTTTCCCAACCTAGTAAGGCAGGATAATATTCAACTCCAGGTAATACAGAGAACACCACAGAGATATTCCTCAAGAAGAGCAACTCCAAGGCACATAATTGTCAGATTCACCAGGGTTGAAATGAAGGAGAAAATACTAAGGGCAGCCAGAGAGAAAGGTCAGGTTACCCACAAAGGGAAGCCTATCAGACTTACAGCAGATCTCTCAGCAGAAACCCTACAAGCCAGAAGAGAGTGGGGACCAATATTCAATATCCTTAAAGAAAAGAACTTTCAACCCAGAATTTCACATCCTGCCAAACTAAGCTTCACAAGTGAAGGAAAAATAAAGTTTTTTTGTGAATAAGCAAGCACTCAGAGATTTCATCACCACCAGGCCTGCTTTACAAGAGCTTCTGAAAGAACCACTACACATAGAAAGGAACAAACAGTATCAGCCTTTCTAAAAAAATTATCAAAAAGAGCATCAATATAATGAAGAATTTACATCAACTAATGGGCAAAATAGCCAGCTAATATTAAATGGCAGTATTAAACTCACATATATTATTATTAATTCTAAATTTAAATTGACTAAATCCCCCAATCCAAAGACAGACAGGCAATTTGAATGAATAACTAAAACCCATCAGTATGCTGCATCCAGACCCATCTCACATTCAAGGACACACAAAGACTTAAAACAAGGGATGGAGAAGGATTTACCAACCAAACAGAGAGCTAAAATAAATAAATAAAAAACAGAAGTTACAATTAAGCAACAAAGATTAAAAGAAGCAAAGAAGGACATTATACAATGATAAAAGGATCAATGCAACAAGAAGAGCTAAAGATTCTAAATATATACCCACCCAATACAGGAATACCCAGACATACAAGACTTATAAAGAGACTTAGACTCCCACATAATAATAGTGGGAGACTTCAACATTAATATTAGACAAATCAGTGAGACAGAAAATTAACAACTATATCCAGGACTTGAACTCAGATCTGGAACAAGTAAATGTAATTAACATTTATAGAACTCTCCACTTTAAATATACAAAATATATACTCTTATCAGTACCACATCATATCAACTTAGAAGTTTAAATGAAATTTTGGTTGGCTCCTTGTTTGTTATTCTCTTCCCTCATTTTCTTTTATATCTTCATCAGTAAGGACAATTATAGGCATACCCATATTTAGATTGCATTCTAGCCCGAGCAATAAAGCAATACCCCCATCCTCTCTCCCTCTTCCTCTTTCTCTTTATTCCTCTTCTTTATTCTTTTTCTTATTAAAAAAAGAAGAAGAAGAAGAAGAATTCCCAATTTTGTAGAACCAGTTTCCAGTAGATCCTGAGGGACACTGTACTAACATTGGTTTTCAAAATGTCTATAAATATCCATGTCCTTATAATATGTTTTTCTTTTTTTTTTTGAGAAAGAGTCTTTCTCTGTCACCCAGGCTGGAGTGCAGTGGCACAGTCTTGGCTCCGTGCAGCCTCCGCCTCCTGGGTTCCAGCAATTCTCCTGCCTCAGCCTCCTGGATAGCTGGGATTCCATGCATGTACCATTATGCCCGACTAATTTTTGTATTTTTAGTAGAGACAGGGTTTCACCATGTTGGCCAGGCTAGTCTTGAATTCCTGACCTCAGGTGATCCGCCCTCTTCAGTCTCCCAAAGTGCTGGGATTACAGGAGTGAGCCAATACACCCCACCTTATAATGTTCTTCAAACCAGCTTTACCATCTTATTGGCTCCCTCATTAATGAGTTGGGCAAAATAATTGATAGGTGTCTATTCATATAAAAGGATCACATTTTTAACTTTTTGAAATCCATATTTCAACAAAATAATGTGATAAGTACAGTATGAAAAGTATGTTGTGGAATCAGGAATTAATTTGTTCTCTGCCTAAGCTTTGCCTGGGGTAAGTATAGTTATTGTTAGGAGAAAATGCCATTGAATTATCCTAGAAGGTAATTTTTGAGCTGTCTTGCAGGCAAAATAGACTTCCTTAGGCAGCAGGGGTGAGAGTGGTCCTCCAAGCCAAAGCAACTACCCGTTAGTGGTTCACAAGCATTGTAAGCAGTTCGCTTGTGTTAGAGTGGGGGTGCCTGTATCTAGGTGAGAATTAAAGGTGAGACTGGACAGGAAGGGTGGAAGCAAGGAAGAGTGAAAAGAGCATTGGCTTCAGTCAGGAAACAGGTTTGTATCCTAACTCTTCCTAGAGCTACCTATTAATGATTTGGCTTTTTGAGCCTGTTTGCATAGCTGTAAATTGAGGACATTACTAACTTCTTCATGTTGTTTTAGGATTATAGTAGTCAAGTAAATCACATAGTACATTGGTGCTGTAGATGTTTAATAAATTACAGTTATTATTATTAATTAGAAAGTGGTCAATAATTTCACATGGTGCCAAGTTTATATAAGATAAAGAACATAAAATAACCTGCATTCAGATTTCCCAATTAGGATGTTATTGATGACTCTGGCAAGAACTGCTTCAAAGGGGCAGGACCAGAATGTGTTGAGAAATGGGTATGAGGTAAGCAAGTGAGGAAGAGATAGCTAGTCCTTTCAGACAGCTTGTCCTGAATGGGAGAGAAGTGATTCAATTCAACACTTATGAAAACCATTTTTTTTTTGGGGGGGGGAGGGTTGAGGAGTCTTGAATATTTTTGTATTCTGAAGGGAGAAATGGATGAAGACCGAAGATAATCATGAGGGGATGCTTTGGAATAGGATTCACAGCAAGAGAGCCCGGAGGAAAAGACATTGAAGAATCAGACTAGTTGTTAACACATGAAGAAAATGGGGCAGAGGAACACACATTCATGTTTCTCCACGTCTAATGAGAACAGGTGCAACGCGAAGGGAGTTGGAGGAGAAGGGAAAGTTTGATGCACAGTTTGCATCCCAGAAGGAGGCTGACAACCAGTGTACACAGCAGATTCATCCAGTCTAGATGGACTGTGCACAGAGTTTCAAAGAAAAGCAGACGAGATTTCCAAACCTTTACCCTAATCCGGGGAGAAGAGGAGACGTCGAAATACAGTCTTGAGGATAGAAGCATTGGGTCGCAAAGGCCTGAACAACTGTCGAAATCAAGGACAAATAGTATGGTACGTAATCCTTAACTTGCATTTTAAAAACGAATTAAGAAAACCAAAACAATTGCGAAGCCCGCCCCATGCTCTACCAATCATCCCTCATCGATCTCTTGATTGGCTAGTGCCACGCAAACACCCTGGATAAAATATGCAAGGTCTAGCATTGATTGGCATGTTAAAGAATCCGTCTGTGGCCGGCGATTGGCCAGCGTGTCTAGGCTCTAGCCAATCCGGAAAGGGGCGGGCTGGTTAAGCGTCAGGTTCCTTAGCTCCACGGGTCAGCACAGTAACTGACTCCTTTTTCTCCCTTCTCTCGGGCCCTAGCTCAGTGTCTGATGGAGCTTTCCTACCAGACCCTCAAATTCACGCATCAGGCGCGGGAAGCGGTAAGGAGCGCACATATAAAAAATAACGATACCAAGATTCCCTCTCCTCCTGTTGCTGCAGGCCGATTCCGAGTCTCCGGTTGCTATGGCGACAGAGTCCGCTACTGGAGCAGCGCAAACAGAGTGAGAGACGCTCAGCGCCTGTGGTTAAATCCCGCGCTGTGGCTTGCAGCAGTGATGGGGGGAAAATAAATGAGACACAGGCGGGTTTGGGGGTGACAACGGGTCGGATGAAAGGGACGGCGGGGTCGGTTCCTGATTGAGGAAATGAGGTATTGCGGGGGAGGTGTTATTAGACGCTGGATCTTGATTGGGTAAGTGGACTTGGGGAGTGGACAAATTAGACTGTTGAAAGGCAGGAAAACATTAACCTGGGCGTTGGTTAAAATATTGGCTTCCGATCCTGATTCGCCATTACTAAGGCCAGAGATCTTAGGCATTTAATTCCCCCTTGGGTTTCAGTTTCTTCATTTGGAAGTCAGGGAATTGGACTGTTATCTTTTTCACACGAAGATTGCATGAGCTCTACAATACATTAAGTAGTTTCCTGTGGTCTGTATCATCTGCTACTGGCCGGCAATTCTTTCCACAGCGATGAACATGAATTGAGGACATATTTGTCTGCCAGGCACTGGGGAGATAAAAATGTGGGGGCGGTGGAAGGAAAAATAAAATTAAGGTTAAAAAAATACTTCTATATGGGCTGGGCGCGGTGGCTCACGCCTGTAATCCCAGCACTTTGGGCGGCCAAGGCGGGCGGATCACGAGGTCAGGGGTTTGGGACCAGCCTGGCCAACATGGTGAAACCCCTTCTCTACTAAAAACTACAAAAATTAGCCGGGCATGGTGGCGCGCGCCTGTAGTCCCAGCTACTTGAGAGGCTGAGGCAAGAGAATGGCTGGAACCGGAGAGACAAAGATTGCAGTGAGCCAAGACTGGGCCACTGCACTCCAGCATGGGAGACAGTGTGAGACTCAGTCTCAAAACAAAACGAAACAAAACAAAAAAAGCCTTCTATCTTGATCTCATCTCCGAGGTTCAGAATTACTGGCTTGGGATGAGTCCTATGCATTAATATTTTTAGAAAGTTCAACAGGTGATTACAGTGGGTAGGCAAGGTTATGAACCGCAGCTCTAGTATCTCCTACCTTTTAAAAATTAATAATACACAAAAAAGCAATCCTCTGTTTGGCTTCATACCCCTCTAGGGTTACCAACCTCTATTTATTTCTCTTCATCTTCTAGAAGGGGTTGGCTACACATGTTGCTGCTTCCTGTTTCAATCTGAGCGTAAACTACCTGCCTCAGAATCTTTTGGGTTACCCCAGCGGATTCTTGGGCCTCACCAAGACACTGAATCAGAAACTCCCGGAATGGTTTCTTGAAACTTGCATTAATTTAAGCATGAACTCCACGTTTGAAAAACATAGCCGTAAACATTCTCATATATTTTCATGACTTCTAATACTATTTTTTTTTCCATTTATCTTTTTAGAGACAGAGTCGCGCTCTGTTGCCCATGCTGGAGTGCAGTGGCATCATCTCAGCTCACTGTAGCCTCCACCTCCCAAGTTCAAGCAATTCTCCTACTTCAACCTCCCGAGTAGCTGGGACTACAGGCACTTGCCAGCATGCCCGGCTAATTTGTTGTATTTTTAGCAGAGACAGGATTTCACTATGTTAGCCAGGATTGTCTCGATGTCCTGACCTTGTGATCCACCCACCTCACCCTCCCAAAGTGCTGGGATTACAGGTGTGAGCCACTGTGCCCAGCCTGATTCTACTTCTTTTTTCTTTTCTTTTCTTTTTTTTTTTTTTTTTTGAGACGGAGTTTCGCTCTTGTTACCCAGGCTGGAGTGCAATGGCGCGATCTTGGCTCACCGCAACCTCGGCCTCCTGGGTTCAGGCAATTCTCCTGCCTCAGCCTCCTGAGTAGCTGGGATTACAGGCACACGCCACCATGCCCAGCTGATTTTTTGTATTTTTAGTAGAGACGGGGTTTCACCATGTCGACCAGGATGGTCTCGAACTCTCGACCTAGTGATCCACCTGCCTCGGCCTCCCAAAGTGCTGGGATTACAGGCTTGAGCCACCGCGCCCGGCCTGATTCTACTTCTATAATGCATTTAATAATTCATATCTTCACATCTACTATCCTGATCTAAAATTCCATACCTCTCACTGGAACCACTTTAATAGTGTCTTGGTTATTCCCCATTGGTTTTTGCCTCTCTCCAGTCCATCTTCATTCAATGATCAGGGTGATTTTCTTAAAATAGTGTCACTCTTTTAATGGGATCCTTTTAATGGCTTTCCATTAACCCCCCCAAATCTTGACAAGACCTACAAAGCACTGCAATAAAGCCCAACCTCTGCCTCCATGGGCTTCCTCTTCATTTTCTGTGTTGCCTCTCAGTGCTCCAGCCACATTCTCCCTAATCTGACATGTCTCCCAACTTCATATTGTCTATGCTATCAATTTAGTGTTTAATTGGATTAATTATATTGTTGTCTGTTACTCACATGGAACCGATAATATAAATTTCTTATAACTTGAAAGCAAGGCAGGAACCCAAGCCTTATTTTTTGTTTTAGTCCCTAGATGGCGCTAAGAGCAATATTTAGGTATGCTCCCTGATGGTTTGATCTCTTGGGGTCTATGTGCAAGGAACTGTGCTGATTAGGGATCTGGAGAAGCTGGAGGAGGGGAGGTGATCTGGTGTATTAAATATAAAGAGGACTGCACGTCCTGAAGGAACTCTGATCACCTACGTCAGCTACTGTATTGAGATTTTTAGAATATTTTCTTTGCAGTTGGTTTTTGTTGTTTTATTTACGTATATATTTTCAATTTTTAATTTTTAGCAAAATAATGGCAGCACGTTATTTAAAATTTTAGTAGTTCAACAAAATTTGAAAAAAACAAGTCTCCTGCTTTACCTTACCTGGCCCTTATTTAATTACTGCTCCCCAGAAGTAACTACTTCGAGTTTTAGCAGCTTCTTCAAAATGACATGTTCTTACTCCTAAAGCTTGATTTTTCATCATCAGTTATAGTCGTCTCACCTTTACAGAAGATGAGCACTGAGCTCTCTTCTCCCTCTCCCTCTCCCTCTCCCTGGCCCTCCCCACCATAAGCACATACTTCCCTTCCCTCATTCTCTCAACATAGACAGGAATTCTGTCATAATTTTTGTTAAACCAATTTTCAGTATTTATAATCTGATTGTGTAAATATTACTTAGAACTGAGCCATATGGTGCACTTTGGTTACATTTTACTTTTTATTTAACTTTTGGGACAAGACTCAATCATATGTTCACCAATGCTTTCTTCTTTGGTTTACTTTTCTGTATATTTGATACCACTTCCTTCCCAGACTTTGCAGTAGAACTGTAAAATTCTCAGTGTAGGGAAGCTTATCAGGTAGTTTCTAAATCCCATGGTTTTTTGTTTGTTTGTTTGTTTGTTTGTTTTTTCCTGGGTGTTATGCTTTCTGGATCTCTGATGTTCTCCTGCTGTGTCAACTCGTTGCTCTCTGGGCTTGCTATACAGTGTTTCTTTCCCTAGGAAATCTCTTCCTCCCTTCGCTGTGTTAGAAATCCTGTTTCCAGGCCCCATGTCTTCCCTCTTCTTGCCCTGTATCCCTCTTGTAGTGAAACGTATCAACCAATAACTACCTGAGAAAAGATATATGGGAGGTAAAAGTTTTGGAAACAAAATACCTATGAAACTTCTCCTCTCACCTTGATTGATGGTTTGGCTGAGATTAATACTCTAGGTTGGGATTGATTTCATCTCAATTGAGAAAGCATTGTGCTATTACCTGTTTTTTGTTTTTTGTTTTTTGTTTTTTTTTTGTTGTTGTTGTTTGAGCACTTGCTCTGTCAGCAGTGGGCCGACCTTGGCTCATTTTAACCTCCACCTCCTGGGTTCAAGCTGTTCTCATGTCTCAGTCTCCCAAGTAGTTGGGATTACAGGGGTGCCTGTAACTTTCTATTTTTAGTAGGCACGGGATTTCACCTTGTTGACCAGGCTGGTCTTAATCTCCTGGCCTCAAGCACTCCGGCTGCCTCAGCCTCCCAAAGCGCTGGGATTACAGGCGTGAGCCACCATGCCAAGCCCCAGTTACTTACTTTCTTTCTTTTTTTAAAGGAAGACAGGGTTTCTCCCAGGCTTGAGTGCAGTGGCAAGATTTATTTCACTGCAGTCTTGAATGCTTAAGCACAAATGATCCTCCCATTTCAGCCTCCCAAGTAGCTGGGACTCCAAGTGTATACCACCACATCTGGTTAAGTTCTTAATTTTTTTTGTAGAGACAGAGGTCTCACTATGTCGCATAGGCTGGTTTCAAACCCCTGGTCTCAAGTGATCTTCCCCACCCACCACCTTGGCCCTCCAAAGTGCTGGAATTACTGGCATGAGCCATTGCACTCAGCCTGCAGGTATTTTTTTAGTGGATGAGCTAAATGTTCCTTTTTCACTTTATCTTGTTCTTGCAAGATGTCACGGTTTCTTTTGTCTCTCTGAGAAGGTTTTCCTTTCCTTCCTTCCTTCCTGCCTTTCTTTTTCTTTCTTTCTCTCTCTCTCTTTACTTTTTTTTTGTTTCCTTACTCCCTTCTCCTTGTTTTCCTTCCTTCCTTCCTTCGTTCCCTCCTTCCTTCCTTCCTCCCACCTCCCCTTCCCTCCACTCCCCTCCCCTCCCTTCCCCTTTCCTCTCCTTCCTTCTTTTCTTTTTCTTTCTTTCTTCTATCATTTTATCTGTTTCCCTTTATGTTCCTTTTTGTATTTTTAAGTTTGTGGTTTTGTCTTTCATGTGAGATATTTTCCTTAAAAGTCTTTGATACACGGCTGTTCATTTATTTTTAAGAATGAGACACCTAGGCTGGGCATGGTGGCTCACACCTCTAATATCACTTTGGGTGGCTGAGGCAGGTGGAGCGCTTGAGGCCAGGAGGTTGAAACCAGCCTGGGCAACGTGGTAAAACCCCGTGTTTACT